AGGGCAGGGTCAATGCAGCTATCAGGAGATTATGGAGCACTTCATGCTTCCATCTGCTGAAAAGCTTCATGGAGATGAAGACGACCTGGCAGCTGCTCACAGAGCCAAAACCACTGGTAAATGGTTTACTGGTATCACTGGGCTCAGTTGGCCTGCCAACCTCCTGACCTGAACCCCATAGAGAATCTGTGGGATATTGTGAAGAGAAAGTTGAGAGACTCAAGACCGAACACTGTGGATGAGCTAAAGGCTGCAATGGAAGCATAATATGTTATTGGTAAAAGATTTAATATCCGATTCTGGATTTTAGGATATTTTGTTGGAGTCCTGCTATTCCCAGTCGGTCAGGCTGATTGGGAATTGCTACAACCCAGTAACACCAGTTTAAAAGGAAACTTTTGTTTACAGGAATAAGATTGGATTCTATGACAACATATTGGGGCCATTCCAAAAATGTTCAAAAACAATACACTGGACTTTGTTTCCAAGTTTGAAGACGTTTCTCTTCCATCCAGGAAGCTTTTTCTGTTCTAAATGTCAGAAATAGCGTTTAGTTCCAGGTTTTATCCAGCAGCCCAACTAAGCCTGGTTTTAGTTAAGAAAACATTCCAATAGAAACGGATGAACGGGTCCCCCCCTTTGGAATGGGCAGTTATTAGACGTATTAGAGTCGTTCAAAGACAGAAAAAAATTATTGGATTCAAAATTTTTTAGTTCAAAGGGATATTTTTATGAAAATAGACAACCAAATTTATGAGTAAAAACACAGAAATTTACGTGATAATAAACATGCAGAATTAGAGACAAGTAGGTCTAACAAATGTAAGAGAATAAACATGTACATTTACGACTAAAAACATGCAAACTTTCCAAATTAAAATGTACTAATAGACAAATAAGAGAAAAAAGTAGCAAATTAATAAGAAAGAAACAGGCAAATTTAGGAGAAAAAGTTGAAAATATGCAAGATTTAAACATGTACATTTGATAACATAAAGCACATGCAAAGGCATTGTTATTTGGGGGCTTTAGCGATTAAATGAGACGGCAAAATGGCCTCATGGACGTTTTTAAAGAAAAAATGAATGATGCAATAAATTTGTTTGCTTAGATTCTCATTAATTTGTGTGTTTTTACTCGTATTTTGTTATTTGTTTTCGTAAATATGCCACTTTAAAAACAAATATATTAATTCAATTTTTTTTTCTACTCTTTAAATTATCCTAATAATATGCCGGTGGATTTACTCAGAAGTTTCTGTTTTTGTTTGGGACATTTTCCACTATTACCTGTGGAGTTTACTGTCATACTGCCAGTGTGCCACCAGTAGGCGCTGTGGCCAAAGACATTATATACGTTTTTTTTGTTTGTTTTTTTTTTTTTATTATTTCACTCAAAGTCACATAACAATATATAAACAAACAAACAAACAAATAAATATGCCAGGGGGTATGTCACAATAAACAAGTACAGATAGGAGAAAAAAACAAGCAATTATACAAGCATGTGCACTGGGGAGTGTCATATATATATGTGTATGTATTATACAAATAAATATATCTTCTACAACATTAAGTTGTCTGGAATTTCTAGTTGGGAACAGATTGTTATGGTTTTTTGTGCCTTCTTATGAGAAGAAAGTTGAATTGTATGAAAATATTGTTTGACTTCTATTAAATAAGCTTTAAAGTCCGTTTTT